CTAATAATAGCCAGGGCGGCTGAGAATAGAATCTGGCTCAAGGACTCTGCACACCCAGGGCTAAGGCTGGGCAGAGGCACTGAATCTGTGGGTCAGAGTCTGGCAACACTCCCTGGAGCCCAGGGCACCCCAGCATTCCCCTCTGAGCCCACTGTTTGGGCACCTCCAGCCTGCCCCTTACAGGCTTTGTCAGCTCTGCTATGGGCTGTATTTCCTGCGCCAGTTCCTAGCTAGGGAGAAATGGGCAGAGAAAACCCATTCTCTCCCTGGTCTGACAGTTGTGAGCCCCACGAAGAATGCGACCTTGTTTGGAGAAGGTGGCCTTGTTGGGTTGGCTGTTGTGTTCCAAAACCAGGCTTGGTTATTTATACACTTATTATATGCAGGCTCAAATATACAGACTCAGATTTTTGCATGAATATATACAGACCGATATTTCCTTTGTGGTTCATTGTATATTGCCATGCCTGTATTTGTTCAAACACTGTTTTATGTGCATGCAAAATTTTGTTAGCTCTCACTAGATGGGCTTGGGCTCAAGGAGACATTGGGTGCACCAAGAAAGCTCTCCGTGCATGCTCTGCTGGAAATGTGTACATGCTGGAATCGGAGTATGCGGGTTCCAGTAACCAACGGATGCTACAAAGGCTTTCTCAGACTTTATTGCCGTCGCTGTCCAAGCAACTGGGCTGGGGGAAATACTTATCCCTTCTGCTTTCTATCCACACCTCCCTCCAAACTTCCCCAGCTCAGAGACTGTTTTATCAGGGGAACCCAGTTATGTTGAAAGTGAGTTCTGTAGGAAACTCGTGGGTAAGGTGGCCCTGGGAGCAGTTGGCTGGGCCCTTGTGCTTGAAGCCTTACTGGGACAGTGAAGGGGATTGGAGTGTTTAATAAGGTGGCCTCTGGGCAGTGGTCTCGGGCGGCTGCCGGCTAGGATATTTGGAAAGGCCAGTGGGGAATGTGCCAGAAGGGGTAAGGGTGCAGTGAACATCTATCCCTTGGCCCTGCTCACCCTGTCCACTTACGGGGCCCAAGATTTGGCCTGCATTGTCAGTAGGGCTGATAAGTGGCTCTCCAAGTTCCCCAAATACGGAGATCTGGTTATCAATGGGACTTCGTTTTAATCCTATCTTGCTACCTAAGCCAGGGAGAAGGCTAACGGGGCAGTGCCAGAAAAGGAGCTGGGTCTGGCCGCCTGTGGGCCTGGAGCATTAAGTATGGGCCGGGGCTGGGAATCAACCAGTCTCTTTCCCTAGCCTTTCTCTTTTCTGGGGCTATGAAAAGACAGAGCAGTGAGGCAAATATAAATATCTGTGAAAAAAACCCACAAAAGAAAGTAAGGACAGGAGAGGGGCTGGCAGGGTTTTCCTCCACTCTCTAGGCGATCAAGTTCCTCCCAAGACTTTCCTGTCCAGACATGCTGCGGGTGCTGAGGCATGCAGCTTTCTTCCACCTCTCCACTGGCACCAAGAGCAGCCTCAGGCTTTTGGGCCTTGGGCACCCTGGGGTGCTGGGGTGACAGTACCCCCAAACTGTGCTCCTCCCCTCACCACCGGCCTCTGCCATGGTGCTGTAGCCGCCCCTGTTTATTGTGTCTGTGAGTTGTTTACTTGTTTTGTCTGCTGCCACCCTGCGTCAGAAACCCGCCAAACCAGCAAACTCACCCAGGAGAACAAAGTGCAGCGCTATCCTGAACTCCCTCCCCTTTCCGGCACCCTGCTCCCGCCATTACCTCTTCCCTCACTTTCCCTTTCTGAGGGGAGGAAGCAGAAATTGTCCTAAAATAAGGCAGCTGTTTATAGGATCAGGGGAATTATGGGGACATCATAAACCTCCAGTGTCCTGGTGGTAGAGACACTTGGAGCCCTCCCCTTGCCTTCAGCTTTTCTTCCTTCCCCCTGGCAACTGCTTGGTTAAGGGGGCCATAGTCACGGAGAAAGTTGAGCCCTCCTCATCCCACTCCCTACTCCTTTCTGCAGGAATTTTCCCTGAGACACAGGTTGTTAGGTTTTAAATCAGGATAATGTTGGCGGATTCATAAAACCAGATAAAGCATGTCGCTCTCCCCTCACCCTCCCTTTTCAGCCCCCCAAAATAGCACTGAATTTAAGCAAATCCTACAAAATTAAATTGCCCCTTCGCTAAAGATCCTATAAATCTCCAATGCCTCCAGGTATAGAGTCGGAGAGGCCGCTGTTCGCCTCTAATTTTGCTCCTGGCTATCAAATCTAAAAGAGTATCATCGAAGTAAGTAATATTCTCATTTCTGAAATTAATTTCTCCCTCCCCATCTCCTTCCCTCTTTTCACCAGCGCAGATTAAATGGTTCTTTCAGATCTGCAAACAATAAAGGATAAAATTATTTATAGGGAAATGAGGACTATGTTTCATTGTTGGCTTATTGTTCCAGAACATAATAACATTTTATTTTCAAGTGGGAGAACTTAGACCAGGGGAAGTAGAAGGGGAAAAGGAAAAACAAGTGAGGGGAGGCAGGGCACCCACACACAAAACTCCTGCTGTATATAACTTTTATGACATTTACAATTTCCTCATGACAACTCACCGTGACGTCATAAATGCCGCGTTCTTGAATTTTACAATTCTCATAAACCTCCAAAATGGGTCTAAGCAGTGCTTGCTCAGTATGGAGGGGTGTAAGAGAAGCCAGGAGGTTGGGGATCCTTTGGCCTCATTCTGAGGGCCAAAAATATTCTGCCTATTCTGGGTTTTCATTTTTCCTCCTGGATGAAGCAGGACCACCTCCCTGAAATGTCACTGGGGTCTGAGTTCCCTCCACATTCCCAGTGGGGATGAGATACTGTGTCTGAGGGCTCTCTGCATGCCCCTCCTCAGCTGGTAATCAGCTGCTTGGGATAGAAATGGGAGGCCTGGGGGCCAGGGCCCAAAAGTCAGAAATGATTTCTTCCAGAGGGAACCAACAGGGGCTCAGGGCTGAGTGTGATGCGGGACCTATTTTACTTTAAAAACCTTCAGCCAGAGAAGTGAATTGAGAAGCCAAACAAATGCCGGTGTGGGAGTTGGTGTCTGCTGATGGTAGCAGCATTAAGTGGAGTGGTAGTAAGGAAAGGTCAGGCAGCAATCTGGAAAGAGAGAGGGAGGAGAGAAAATATGATGTGAGTTAGCAAAGCCCCTCCGTGTACCTTTCTCCTCTGTTTAATGGCAAATAAAACAAAAGCAGCTTGGGCAGCCTCTAAACCTCTTAGCTCAAAAGAGGAGTCACCAGCCCAGGCCTCGAAGTGTTTGGGGCAGTTCTCAGGCGTTTGACATGCCCCATCTGGCCTCTTCCTCCTTCTCCCCTCTTTGCAGACCCCCAACTTCATTCAGCTGGCCAGCCTGAGCCCTGTCCCCAGAATATCAGTACCCCCAAATGGATTCCATTTCCGGGTTGGGTGTGTCAAATTTCACTTTTCTCCAAGTGTCTCCATGCCTGAACTTTGAAAGGAGAGGGAGCATTCTTTCGGGGAATGCAATGTGTGTACGGGGAGGTATGTGCTCAGACAACTTCCCTCACTATGAGAAACTGGGGGCTCCTAGGGTGAGCTATTCTTTGGTGTCCCCAAGCAGATCCAGTTCCCTGCGTTCATGTTCTCTGGCGGATTGAGAGACTCTTTGCAATCCTTTTACTCCGGATTCTGTGGAGATCAAAGGAGCTTGAGCACAAAACACTAATCATTTGGAGTAGGATTTATTCTTTTAATTTTTAAATAAAAAAATCTAATCATAAGCCAGCCGGGCCAACTGAGCAGTTGCTCTAGAACAGCAAAGCCTTAACCAAACAGTGCGATTGTGAGGTGAGCTGAACAATTATTGAAACTCGGCTTTCTCTGCAAGAGGGATTTCAGCCCTCGCCCAGTGGCATAAAAGGGGCCGGTGGGGCAACCGCTCCTCTCCCGCTCTGGAAACCCAGAATTGGGGCGGAGGGGGTCGGGCAGCTGCAGCCAAGTGCCCAGGCCGAGCCCTGAGTCCTGCAGCTCTAGTGTCCAGGTCCCTGAGCAGCCTCCGTAGGCTCCGAGCTGTAGTTGGTGGCGCCGGCAGCCAGGAATGGAGTGTGTGTATCTGTGTGCAAGTCTGGGTGGGTCACAGACATCAGCGCAGAGTTGTGGGATCTGAGGAGAGAAGATCAGCAGAACACAAATTAAGCAGGACCTCTGGAAGAGATTGTCCTCGAATAAAAATTCCAGATCTCATCCCTCTCACTTCAGATACCCTTCCCCAAGAAATTAATATATTTTCCAGAGCAGAATGGAAAGCAAAGGCAAGCAAGGTGAGGCCTGCCCACGAACACCTTCTGGGCCAAAGCCCAGTCCCACCCGCCCTCTTCCCAGTTCAGAGGTACATAGCCCCCAGGCTGTGGCCTGGAGCCGGGTAAGGCTGGAGTACAAGTGCTTGACTCACCCTGGGAAACCCTCCAGTGCCCATCCTCCAATGCGACCCTTATCCTTGGGGACTCCAGGCCAGTGACTGCCCCCCACTCAGGCCTATGGCACGCCTGCAGTAAGTTCGTCTCCTGTAATTAGCACTCATGAAAAGCATGTGTTTTGGACTGGGGGGGACTGGAACAGCGAGCGGCAACTTTCCCCCTTTATCCTTGTTCTGTGATTTTTGAATTCTGTTTTTGAATCCACTAATTACAGCTCCCAAAGCGAAAATCTGCTCTCGCCCGACAAACCCCTTCGGAATGCCTGATTCCGGAGGCCGAAGGGGCAGAGCAACTCTGAGACCTGCTGGCCTGATGCGGGGGGTGTTCTCTGATTCTCTAGGCTTGTTTTAGAGAAACAAAGAACAAGTTCTCCCCCACCCTTCCCAGCACTTGTGCATATTTACAAGAGCTCAACTGCAGTTTTAATAAAACATCTGTTCTTGCTTCTGTTGATGAGTTTCCATAATTGTTTTCAGACAAATTTAACAGGAAAATATAAATATATTTAGAAAAACCCAAGTCCCAGTTTCCCCCCCCCCCATATACAGTCGTTCTTTCGCCAAAAAAATAAAATGAACGTGAAATGAGAAAAGGAAAATTTAATCCAATGGAGGGAAGATCGGGCTCATCTGACCTGCTCTCCCCCCTTGGAGCGAATCCTTCCAGCAAATTTCAGCTGCATAATTAAATATCTAACTGAAAGAAGGAGGCTCCTTTCCTCAGGAACGGAAGGTGATAGGGGAGAGTGTGTTGGAAATTAATTTTAGGGGAAATTATTTGTGTTTCTGCTTCCTCTTCTGTCCCCCTTCCAGCATTTCTGTCTTTTTCCCCCAGCAGCTGGTTTCTGTTCATTATAAATCGGCGAGACCTTTCAGTCTCTGCCCTCTGTTTAGGGACGTAATAAAACACTTAACTTTCCGGGGCTGAGACTTACATTCTACTCCTCAAGACGCCCACCCCCAGCGCCCACTGCCTTTAGGCACCAAAGGAGACTCTTCCCCAACTTTGGGGCCTCTTTCCCCTGCAGACTTGGTTTAGGAGGGGCTCAAGGAAACCCAGGCATCCTTGCTGGGGAGCTGCAGCACATGCTGCCCCAGAAACCCCTTCTTTCTTCCAAGGTCCTTCCTTCCCCCACCCACCCATAAAAGAGATTTAAAAATACATAGAAAATCAACACTCATTGAAAGCGAAACCTCATTAAGATATCCTATCTTCCATCATTCAATTTGTTGTACATTGCAACAATTTAATATCTTGAAGGAAATATCACTGACATGATTTATCCCTCTAGCAATCTCTCTCTGAAATTGGGGGGGGGGAATTTACTCTTTCTTTGGCCTATTCTACGTGTTACACTACTACCCTTAGGGCAGAAATGAGGCTAGGAACTCTGAGAGCGGCTATTTGTGTCCAGGGGTGCACTGACTTGTTCCTTAGCTCAGCCCCCTGGGTCTCCCCGCCCCTAGTTCTTTCTCTCTCTCTCTCCCTCTTGCCCTCCAGGGGGCCTGGAGCCCCAGCCAGCTGTTGGAAACCTCTGTCCAGGCATGCCATGAATTTGAGGACAGCTGGATTCTAGAGCAGGAAGCAATTCACGCTGGTGTCTGCATTTGTGTACCTGCCATGTCACCCCAAAATGAGACAACTCATCTCAAAATTTCTTTCTTAATTTAAGAACCTTCCTCTGCCCTTTCACCTTCATTTCCTTGGGGAGAAGAAAGTATGGTACAACAGAGGAGACCTTTGTAATTATAGGGGTCTTTCCCCTACACTTCTAAATACCAACAAATTGCCTTCCTTTCTAAAGGATTGGGACTGTATTTTTAAAAGCCAACACAAATTGTCTGGCAGGAAGACTCTTCAATCCCTAACGAGGTTCATGTATTAACTAACATGTTGTCTCCACCAGCTCGTACACACTGTCTGCTTTTGGGTTCGAAACTTTATTTTTCCCCCCTAGCGACACTCCAGGGAAACCTTAACGTTACAGAAGATGAATAAACGAGTTTTTTTTCCCAGCGTAGTCCCGTTTATGGCTTTATTGCTACCCATTGATTACTCCGCTTTGTTACACAGAAGGAAAAGATCATAAAATCCAGCGACATCCGGGTCCTTGTTATAGCCACCCCCCCAAAAAAAATGATGAAGGGAAAATATGAGCTTCCACTGCTCCCTTCGCTTGCCCCACTGCCCCTTCTTTGTCAACTCAAAGCATTTTCAGCCTATGTCACTATATCAAATTAAGTTTGGATTAATCAGGAGAAAAACCCCATCTGCACACCTTCCGCTGCTTCAGTTCGCCCACTGCCGGCTTCCTCAGAAGCCTCGAACTAAGCTGCCTTTTCCTAACCTTCTCTTCCTTTTTCTCGGCCCCAAAGTGGGAGGAAATGGGGGTAGGGGCTACTGAGAGGCTGGGCCCCACCAGGTGTGCGTGGCCCTTGGGTGAGAGCTCCCTAGGAGCCCTTTGCTGGAATCTCCAAGCTGGAATCTCCAAGAGCTCGGGTCCAGGGCACCTCCCTTGGCAGGGCAGAGAGTCCGGAGGGGGCAGGGGGCTTCTGACTTGTGCATGGGCTTGAGCCTACAAGATGCTAACTGTCTATCAGAGCCCCACCAGCCTTCTCTTTCTGGCTGGATCTTATGTGAATTATCCCACCGGCTCTTGCTGGCTCCAAATCATAAATTCTCACCAACATAAACAGGAGTTGATGTGTCTAGAAAGACCCCGAATTCTTTCTTCTTCCTTTCGTCCTTCCTTTTCCTCTCTCCCACCTTTTACTTCTTTCTTTCCCTATTCTATTGTATTTTTATATATTCTCCCTTTTAGGGAAAAATGCTGCAAGAGTTTCCCCCAAAAGGGGGTCCTGGGAAGGAGGCAGAGGGGGGCTAGGAGGAAGAGCAAAGCAGATATCTGGCCCCTTTGCCCACCTCAGCTCTGCCACTCTACCTTGAAGTCTCACCCTTACCCCTTGAGAACTACTTGCTCCCCACATTCCCCCTACATTCAAGACTCTCAGCCACACTCTTCTTCCTCTGAGCACCATGTTTTATGCAATTTCTTCCTACTTTTGATTTTTTTAAAAAATATTGGGGAAAAAATATACTGGTTTGGTGAGGAGGACTCACTTCATGGAGTGTCAAACCAGGATTTCCTGTAGAATTTCTGGGGAACCCCCCTGAGTTGGGAGGGAGCTCCTCCCATTGAGAAATTAGGATGTAATTTTAGAAGGGGGCAGATATAAAAGATGAAATCAGATTGAAAATACAGAGATTTCTCCAGCCCTGGCTCTGGCCACTGAACAGCAAACTTAGCTGGGGCTGAGAGATTTCCTTGGAGTGCAGCTCTCCTTCCCTGGGCCCCAAGGCCCTGCTCGCGGACATTCACCCTTCCTTCACCTCCAAATCAGCTCCCTTACGTATATATATTTTAAAGAAATCCAAGTCTTACTTTCAAAGCACACACTTAGTCTCAACTAGGGAATCAACAGAAGCAGAAGCGATTTTTTTCCCCCTTCTTGACATCTGGCTTGCGATTGGCTGGAAGGGGGTCAGCTGACTTTGTCATTTTGTCTGTCCTGGATTGGAGCCGTCCCTATAACCATCTAGTTCCGAGTACAAACTGGAGACAGAAATAAATATTAAAGAAATCATAGCCCGACCAGGTAAAGGCAAAGGGATGAATTCCTACTTCACTAACCCTTCCTTATCCTGCCACCTCGCCGGGGGCCAGGACGTCCTCCCCAACGTCGCCCTCAATTCCACCGCCTATGATCCAGTGAGGCATTTCTCGACCTATGGAGCGGCTGTTGCCCAGAACCGGATCTACTCGACTCCCTTTTATTCGCCACAGGAGAATGTCGTGTTCAGTTCCAGCCGGGGGCCGTATGACTATGGATCTAATTCCTTTTACCAGGAGAAAGACATGCTCTCAAACTGCAGACAAAACACCTTAGGACATAACACACAGACCTCAATCGCTCAGGATTTTAGTTCTGAGCAGGGCAGGACTGCGCCCCAGGACCAGAAAGCCAGTATCCAGATTTACCCCTGGATGCAGCGAATGAATTCGCACAGTGGTGAGTTTTACAGCTCCAAGATATAAATTAAATAAACTGAACTGGCTTTATGACCGGCTTCCCTAGAAGAACGGGCGGAGAGAGTTTTTTATGGCCCCATAAAAACAATCACGCTCGTCTCCTCGCCGACGCCGAGACAGGGCCCCCTCTTCTGCCCCCTCTGCTCGCCTCCCGCTTGCTAGCAGGGGCCTGGCCCCCTCGGCCCCTGACGGATTGGAGGGCTCCAAGACGAGCTGAGGGGGCAGGAACAGGGCAGGGGATGAGGGGAGGGGACAGGGGGTGGGGGAACCCCCAAAGTCGAGTCAGGCTGAGGAGATGGGAGGGGGAGAGGAGGGAGCAGAGAAGTGGGGAGAAGTTTCCAAGAAGCTAAGGTGCTTGGGGAGGTGGGGAAGCCCAGTCGTTGAGGAATGGGGCCCTCCATCGCAGTGTTTGGGATTTTTCAAAACCCAGCTTTTAGACTTACAGCTTTCTGTCTGGTTCTTCCCCCCACCCCCACCCCCACCCACCCACACACCATTCTTTGGGACACACACCTACCAACCTATGGGGGAAACTGAACCAAGTTGGGATCCTAGCTGTACCCCCAGTGGGGGTGGGGCAGGGCAACGGGGAGAAGGCTGGAGCTCCAGGGGGCCCTGAGCTGCTGGCCAAGTTGGGAGGGTCAGGACTTGGCTAGGCTAAATCGTCTGCGGAGGAAGCCTTGCTGATTGTTTTTAGTGTGTTTTGTGCCCGGATCTCTAGGGGTCGGCTACGGAGCGGACCGGAGGCGCGGTCGCCAGATCTACTCGCGGTACCAGACCCTGGAACTGGAGAAGGAATTTCACTTCAACCGCTACCTAACGCGGCGCCGGCGTATCGAGATCGCCAACGCGCTCTGCCTGACCGAGCGACAGATCAAAATCTGGTTCCAGAACCGCCGGATGAAGTGGAAAAAGGAATCTAATCTAACATCTACGCTCTCAGGGGGCGGCGGAGGGGCAGCGGCCGACAGCCTGGGCGGAAAAGAGGAAAAGCGGGAAGAGACAGAAGAGGAGAAGCAGAAAGAGTGACCAGGACTGTCCCTGCCACCCCTCTCTCTCCTTCTCCCTCGCTCCCCCAACTCCCTCCTAATCACACACTCTGTATTTATCACTGGCACAATTGGTGTGTTTTGACTCCCTAAGACAAAATTAGGGAGTCAGATATGGACCTGAAAGTCAACTCTGGACCCCCCACCCCTCACCGCACAAACTCTCTCACCACGCGCCTCCTCCTCCTTGCTCCCTCGCTAGCTTGTTCTCGGCTTATCTGCAGGCCCTTTCCCCCGCCCAGGCCTTGGGGGCTCCGTCCCTGAACCTCGCTTCAGACTTCACAGATCTTCCTGCAAAAGAGGACTTGGCCTCCCACCCCCTCTGTGCCCCCTACCCCCGCCCCCGCGCAGAGAGCCGGCTCCCGGGCCCGGGGCCTCTGCTCCGGGGCCTCAGGGCCCGGCCTGGCTGCCGGGGAGGGTGGGAGGTCCAAGGAGGGCGCGTCGTGGCCCCACAGCAACCCCCAGGGCCTCCCCGCAGCCCCTGTCCGGCCCCTCTGCCCCAGCAAATGCCCAGCCCAGGCGAATTGTATTTAAAGAATCCTGGGGGTCATTATGGCATATTACAAACTGTGACCGTTTCTGTGTGAATATTTTTAGCTGTATTTGTGGTCTCTGTATTTATATTTATGTTTAGCACCGTCCGTGTTCCAATCCCATCTTAAAAAAGGAAAAAAAGAGGGAAAATTACAAAAAGAGAAAAAAAGTGAATGACGTTTGTTTAGCCAGTAGGAGAAAAAAAAATAAATTAAAAAAAATCCCCTCGTGTTACCCTCCTGTATAAATCCGACCTCTGGATCCGTTCTCGCATATTTAATAAAACTGATATTATTTTTAAAAGTTTATATCGGGATTTCTGTTAATTCGCTCGCCCGCCGGCCTCGGGGTGAAAGTTGGAACTGGCTCCCAGCACTCCGTGTCTACTCGCCGCCTGCAAGCCCCCAGCCCCTGCACTAGCCTTTCCGGAGCCGGGAGCCAGCCCTGGCCTCCTCTTCTGGTGATGTCGCTGCGGGGCTGGGAGGCCTCTCTGGGCTCCCTACACGGAACAACATACTCACCCCGCAAAAAAAGGCCGCATGGGATTTCGATAGGGGTGGAGGGGAGAGCCGGGGTTAGTCGGGTTGGTCTCCAGCCCCACACAGGCCTTTCTTCCCGCCTGTGACACCCTGGGGTTCTTGTCTTCTGAACCCCGAGCCCCAAAGGCCAGGAAAGCAGCATTATCCAGGCACCAGGGTCACCCCCGCCCACTCCCCCAGTGAGGAGGGGGCGCCCTGTGAGCAGCCCCCCGCCTGCGCCAGGCCGACTGTTGCGAAACGTGGCTGAGGCAGAGAGCGAAGGGGAAAGAGAGGACCGCAGGATTTGAGCCCTTCGCCAGGGACTGAGCGATTCAAGGACATCTCGAAAAAGAAAACCTGGAAACTGAGCTCTCGCCTGCTCTGGGACTCTTGACGTGGCTGGGACAAAATTCGTTCTTCCTTACAGCCCCAGCCTCAGTCTGCTTCCTCACTCTTTCTTCTCCCCTCAAACTCAGCGGGTGAGGAGTGCAACCAGGCCCTAACCGTTCCCCAGCTCAGGACTTCTCTCCCTAAGCCCAGCCAGAGAAACCTGAGTGGACCTAGGGGTGAGGTAGTGAGGGGGTCTCCCGGAGGGAAAAAATCCGCCAGAGTTTTCCAGACGTTCCAGATCCCTGCCAGCGCCCCCTCCAGCGCCTCCGCTTGCGGGGGTGGGGGGGGTGGCGGGAGGGGGGCTTCTCCTGGCAGGGGCGGAGATTTCCTGGGGAGAGGCAGTCAGGAAAGAATATGACTTGGGGCTAGGGGAGAGGGGTCGAAAAGGGGCCGAATGGCGGCAGAGTCCCTGGCCACGGGCTGTGAAGGTAGCCCAAGCGCCTGCCCTGCCCACCCTCATCCCCCCACCCCCAGCCAGGTCCTTTCTGAGGTTTCAGATAGCTCAGAAATTGCTATCCGGTGGACCTTCTGGATCCAAGTCCCTGGAGAGCCTGGTCCAGAGGCCTTTTCCCCACTGGGCGCAAAAGGGGCCTTTTCTTCTGTCCTCATAAAATATTTGTGGAGATTTGAATCTTGCCTCTCGGTTCCCTCAGTTAACATCTATTTTCTATCCAAAATATCTGGCAGAGGTACCACTTGAGGGTCATATACAGGGAGGCAGAGCAGTCCTCAGGCCATTGTGTCTGGTCACACACACACACACACACACACACACACACTTGAAAACTGCCTTGTTGCCACTCTGGAGTCTCTGGCATGGTGAGGTCTACTCCTGGCTTCTCACCTCCAGGCTCATCCAGAGTCCTCAGCACTCAGTCTCATTACCACCTCCCCCCACCACAAGCACACACCCCATCTAGCTCTGCCCACCCAGGACCTCTTCTGTCTACCTCTCCAGAGGCTTGGATCACTTTTCCATGCTGACAAGCCCCTCCTCAGCAGTAGGAGGGCCTTGGGACCCCCAAGGAGAGGGACCTCCACCCTTGGTTTAGAGAACCTTAGTTAAGCCCCTCAGATGTCCAACCTGGGCAGGGACCCCTCACCTAAATCCCCATTCCTCAGCTCTTTTTGAAGATCGGAAGGCCCTTGGAGTGGACAAGATGGAGTTACCCATTACAAAAACCCTCAGTGCATCCCAAAAGAGGCCCCATCTTTTCTTAAAATTAAAAACAATTTAAAAGGCCATTTCAGGGGTTTGTTGCAGCAACAACCAGCTTCTCTACAGGCTAGAAAATCCAGCGGCCTGGAAGGCAAGCCGGCGTGCCAGACTGCAATTCCTCTAAGTAGGCACCAGGTGTCGCTGTGGTCTCGTTGTCCCGGCTACCCCCCAATTCCAAGAACCATTTTTTTCTCCCCCTTCTCTCTCTTTCTCTCTCACTCCCTCTCCCCCTTGGTTGGGCTTTGCCAACATATCAAGATGCGTTTCGCCGGCTTCCATCACTAACCTCCCGGAGGTCATCAAGCCAAATTTATGAGTGGCCGCTCGAGTCACGTGACTCTATTTAAGGCTCCCTTATTTGGGAAGAGCGCATAGGATAAAGAAAGAGATATCTCCACCTATAAATTGTGCACTTTGGAGAACAAAAAACCCCTCAACTTCAAAGAGTCACAAATCACCCTTAATCAAAAAGGGTGCAGAAATTTTTTTGGGCCCTCCCCGCCATGAGCTCCTACGTAGCCAATTCATTCTATAAGCAGAGCCCCAATATCCCTGCCTATAACATGCAAACTTGTGGGAACTATGGATCGGCCTCAGAGGTGCAGGCATCCAGGTACTGCTACGGCGGATTGGACTTAAGCATCACTTTCCCACCGCCTGCGCCTTCCAACTCTCTCCACGGGGTAGACATGGCTGCCAACCCCCGGGCTCACCCCGACCGCCCCGCCTGCAGCTCCGCGGCCGCTCCGGGACACGCTCTGGGCAGAGATGAAGCGGCTCCTCTGAACCCCGGGATGTACAGTCAGAAGGCGGCTCGCCCAGCGCTGGAGGAGCGAGCTAAGAGCAGTGGGGAGATCAAAGAGGAGCAGGCGCAGACAGGGCAGCCTGCCGGACTGAGCCAGCCACCGGCCCCGCCACAGATTTACCCGTGGATGACCAAACTGCACATGAGCCACGGTAAACTTTAGGACTTCATTTTGCGCGCTCGGGTCCGCCTGGGTTTTATAGGCCATGCGGGGCAAATAAAGAAAAAAAACCTGAGGCCATAAATTTTACGATCCAGGCATCAATGGCTCGTAAAACTGTCCACTAAAAGGCTTAGAGGCTGTGTGCGCCCAAATTTACGACGACATAATTGGATCATAGGAACAAAACGTGTATAAAAGGCAATATTCAATTTTTGGGGGAGAGGGAGGGAGTTAAAAAAATAGAGGGATCTAAAGGGTGAGGAGCGCGGGGCTCCAGAGCGGGGATCCCCCTGCGGCTCCCTCCCTCCCCTGTGGAGCCGGCTCGGCCGGCGCTCGCCGCTCCGGAGGATTCCAGCGACTCGGGAGGGGCGGGAGGGGGGTCCCCGGTGCTCGGATCTCGAGGGTGCTTATTGTTCGGTCCGAGCCTGGGTCTCCCTCTCCCCCCACCCCTCAGCCCCTCTGGCTGCTGAGTGAAGGCTGCGGCGGAAAGTTTCCTGCCTGGGCGGAGGCGCCTCTCCCGGGGCTGGGCTGGGCCGGGCCCGCCTGCGGCCCGCCGGGCCTGTCTCGTCCTGCTTGTCTCCTCTCCCTCCCGCTGCGGGTGGGGGCCTGGGGCTGGGGTGGGGACTCTGGGGCGCTGTACGCTATTCACCCCTTCCTGGCTTGGGGGGGGGTTATATTCCAGAGACGGACGGCAAGCGGTCCCGAACCAGTTACACGCGCTACCAGACTCTGGAACTGGAAAAAGAATTCCACTTTAACCGCTACCTCACTCGCCGCAGGCGCATAGAGATCGCCAACAACTTGTGTCTCAACGAGAGACAGATCAAGATCTGGTTCCAGAACCGCAGGATGAAGTGGAAGAAAGATTCCAAAATGAAAAGCAAAGAGGCTCTTTAGAGGCAGCGGGGAGGCCTGCCGAAAGCACCCGAGCCCGCTTTGCTCCCCGCGCCTTTCCTTTTCGGTTTTTCCTCTCTCTATATTTTGGGGCAAGGGCGGTGGCTGGAGCACCGGCTCCCGGGCCTCACAGACAAAAGCGCTTTCCCTTGGCATTCTGCATCCCCACCGACCCCAGGTTCCCACGGGGCTGCCCACGCTGTCTGGACTCCCCTCAGTTCTGCTCAGCTCCGGGGCCCAGGGCAAGCTCCTCAGGGGTTCTCTGGGCCTGTGGTTTACGGATTGGCACTGACCGAACCCGGCCTGGGCCGTCTTCTCAGGCTTCTAGCCCCAGCGTGGCCCGCTTGAGTCAAGGTGGGCCCTTCGGGCGCCGCAGGCCCCGCGCCCCGACCCTCCAGACTCGGCCTCGCCCTCTCCTTTGTTCCGGGGTTTAGGCTGGTTGCGGCCGGAGAGAGAAGGGTTGTGCCTGGGGGAGTCCGGTGCCAGACTGGGGGGGGGGCTTCCGTATAGCGACTAAACTCTAGATGTTCGTTTTATAATGATTTGCATATGAAAAGGGGAGAAGACTGAAAGTCCGCTAGGGCCCCCTTGGTTGACCTACACTCTCCAAACCTTCTCCCCCAACCCCAAAGCCTGAGAACCTCTCCAGCCTGCACCCTCTGCATGCCCTCTCAGGCCCCCACCCTCAGACCACTAGCTAGCTCAACTATTGGGGTTCCCTACCACAGGACCCCAGCAAGCGGTCCTAGAGGCTCCTGGCTGCCCAGTAGTCCCTGCCATGACTTTCTGTGCCATCCTGCCCCATTGCTGTTGTACAACTATTTATTGACTCCAGGTCTTTCCTGAAACTATATTTTGTCATATCAAATAAAGACAAAGAGAGAACAGGACTAAAGATGCAGCAGATCCTCTTTGTTTGGGGCATGTATTGGGGCAAAAGTGTCTAAATGGGCTGTGGGGTGTAGGGGGATGGGCCCACAGCCTTTAAACTTCTCCTTTAAAGGAATTTTTAGGAACTTCTGGGGTAGTAAGACAAGGGAGGTGAAACTGACCTCCTATCCAGATCCCCGGCTTCAAGAAGGGCCTCTAGAGGAAGGGGAGGGCACCTAGGCCACCTGTACTGGCCTGTCCCATGATGTGGCTATCCAAGGCATTCGGGCCTCTGCACCCCGTTCTCACCTTGGCTGAGTGGATTTGAGGCCTCTAGACTGGCAGCGGCCCTCACTACATGCCAGAACTAATCTGTCAGGACCCGTGCCTCCGCACTGCTCAGACTCAGGCCCTTTTGGGTCTCTTAAGATCTCTCCCAGGACTAGGTG